AACCACTTCTACTTAGATCCGGGGTTCCCATTAAACCGATCCTCGAAGCCCATAGGATTTCAATTCAACACTCACCAAACTCACCCTTTGGAAGACATCTCCCGATCCGAGAATCTTGGGGCAACACCCCGTTTTTGATGCTTCTTTGAGGGTCCCGGTATTATTTTTTTGGACAACTTCCCATGTCTTGAACAACCGGTTGCAGCGACTTCAGCCGGGAGAGGTCCCAAACGAATTTCCGCTTAGGGATACTCCTGGGGCTTCGTCTTCCTGGGGGGTTGGGCTAGGGTCAGTTCAACCAACCACAAGTTGCACGAAGCTTTGCAGCCCTTTGGACCAGCACCCAGCAAATGGAAATCCCCAACATCCCCAAAAGTCCCTTTGCAAAAAACATTTGCCAGCCATGGAAAGTGCTCTCATGGAGGCTTTGGAACTTCTCCGGGCTGGTTTGTGCCCTTCAATTAGTTCGGCCCAGACCTCCGAAAAGGACTTGCCCCCTTGTTGGTTCAGCCAAATGCGGGCCGGCAAGCGAAATGGAGTCACAAAGGCATTTCGGCTTTTCACAGCTCTGGTTTCTTAGATGTTGAAGTGGTACAATCAAATCCTGCCGAAGCTGAAGTCGGGGAACCACTTGGACCCCCCCCCCCACAAGCAAAACGCTGATTTCGGGGCAACGCCACGCACGCGTCCTGAAAGCGCCCACGGCATCTGACAAGTGGACACTGCCCAAGTATACAAAGCTTCAAGAAACACATGTGGAAAAGGCGGGCTGACCAAACACATATTGGTATGAGGGCAATTTCCACACGCAGAGAAATCGAAGGAACACACGGCAACAAAACCTCACGGTTTTCACAAAATCTGCGCACAAGAACAGCAAGCACATCGGTGCACTGGCCAACATCCAGCCAATCTGAACTACCGTGGATTAGCCAAAAACCTGCACCACGGAAGCCAAAAAAGTCGGATCCGGTCGATTCCGTGGCCAAAAGGGCAAATTCATTGTTTGGGGGGAATTGAGTTGCAGTGGAGGTGGTTAATTCGTGTTGGGCAAGTAAGATGTTGTTTTATCCCAAACACGTGGCCAAAACGGAAGTTGTCCACAAAAAGGTGGAGATGTCCCGTCGTTTTCCCTTGGGCCATGCTCCTTGGGGCATCTCCGCTTGAAGATGACCTCCTGGTAGGCCTGGCGAGAAGTTGACGTGGGTGGCCTGTTTCTCTTTCTTTGCTCATTTGGGGTCTGTCTTGTTTGATAATATCCCTTCTTTGTGGATTTAAAGGGAAACCAAACGAACACAGAAAGCCATGTTTGGGGGAACCAATCACAGCATGCCAACTTCGGAATTAGGAGTGCCAAGGGGCGAAGCATCCCAGACCTGCATCGAACCCCTCCAAAAGGCAGCTCCTTGAGGTCCAACAACTAAAACCAATGGAGGCGTTTCCCCCTATGGAGGGTCCCTCCTGATGCTTAGGGCAATTGCTAGTCTTTTGCTTCTGGGCTTGGGGATGGTGATCATCCTGGCTTCCTTGAACTGATCAGGAACCCGACCATGCCGCGTCTATTGTCCGCGAGGGTGTGGAAGTGGGTGAAGCAAGCCAGCGGAAGATGACGAATCTCCGCCCCCGTCCAGCCGTCAGGACCAGCCGAACCTTTCATAGTTCGCGTAACCCTGTGGATGTCCTCGGCACTGGGAGCCGGCACACCACCAGGCTGCGCTTCAGGGGAGGTTCTGCGTGATCTCGTTCCCGCCCGGAGTAGTCTCCGAGAGCTACTCCCACGTGCGAATAGCCTCCACACCCTGTGTGAGAGTCTCACAGACCCTGCCGTCCGTGGCTTTCACATGAAAAACCACCGCATTGCTATTAGCGCGAAGCCATGAGCGGCTCAATAGCAGACATACGACATGGCCCAGGATCCAGGACCCGCCGAACCGAAGCCAGCCAAGGAGACACATGGTGTCTCAACCGAGTTCCTTTTGGATTCGCTTTTAACGTAGCCAAATCTCTGGTGCCCTCAAACATGACAGACTTCCCCATTTGCCTCCAACAAGAATGACTCTGGACAAAACATACCTGGGAATAAAAACCGTCATCTCGCCCCGGCCGGGTCGAAAAAACCGATAGCCCCTCAGAGAGGTGCCCCAAGTCAACATTCATTACGCGAAACTTTTTCAAACGTTCTCCCAGCCAAGGTCATGTCAGCTTCCAGCTCGCTGGTTTGGAGCCTGGTGCTTTCGACATGAGGTACCTTCCCGAGGTTTCAAACTGGGCTGGGGAGGGAAAAATCAAAACATAACCCACATCAAATCCCAATCAAATCCAATCCAACTAAGGGTTCCCTGATTTTCATGGTTTTTTCCCACAGCTGAAACACGAGGACCCCCCCCCTCCAAAAAGGGCCCCCGGCAATCGAAGCCCTCGAGATCGGGCCTCGTGGAGGCTGTCGCTCCAGGCTCCCGGTCGTGCCTGCCAGGAACTCGGCTTCGTCCGCTTCGCCCGCTTCGCCCGCTTCGCCCGGTCGGTTTCACGGTCACTTCAGTGGCCCAAATCTGTGCACCGATGATATGGGTGGTTCCGTTTTGTTCGAGTTTGTGCCCCCTTTTCGGTGGCTTGAAAGAGGAAGAAAGGACATCCGAAATCCGTGTTGGGGGTTGAGCAAAAAAAGAGGCACCCATGTGCTCTTGTTCTGTTTCATATTTTGTCAACCCCAAGATCTTACATATTTTGGAGGCCCAAGAATAAGGCCTCGGAAGCCCCAAAGGATCGGGTTTAAGCAAGAAGCCCAGGTTTTGGCGCATTCTTCCGGGAGAAGTTGACACAGCCATTGGGGTGTGGTACGTGCGCTCCAAGCCCCACCCTAAGTTAGCTAAGGGCATCCAAGGGCAAGCTTCTGCATCATGCTCCTGTCGTCTGGTTTCTATGAAATGATGATCAATTTGTACGGCATGTACAAATCTAAGAACCCCGCAAAACCCAAACGCAGCCCTATAGTCCATTGTTGAACGAAACGTATCTGGGTCCGGGGCCCTTTTTTGATTTCGCTCGGCTTCATTGATGCACTCAGCATTCGAATGAAGCCCAGAATGATACAGCACACACAGGGTGAAACCCACTAATTGCCACTTTGGTGTTTCTTGCTATTGACCAGCTCAATGATTCCCAAAAAAAGGTCTTTCGTTGAGGGTACCCCCTTTTGGTGGGTTTCAAAAGGGAAACCAAAAGGACAACCACACTTTGCGGGTGGTCCCCGAAAAAAGGAGAAAAAAGGAAAACAAACAAAAACACTGCGATGCAGCTTTTTTCATGCAATCCCTGCGCGTACGGCATGTCATTTTCTTGTTTTCACAGAAACAGGCGACCAACCCCCCCCCCCCCCGGCCCCCCAAAAAAATCACAAGAACGCAATCATACTTGCCCGGACCTGGAAATAAAGGGTGATCACCCTTTGGAACCTTGACAAAGAATCGCCCCGAAGTAGAAGAAAAGGTCAGATCTAGTCATTTTGGAAAGTAGGTAACCCACAAACAAGTGCTGGCTTGAATCCGATGTGCATGGCGCCTCAACATGAGACAAGCACACGCGCGAGCAAAGCGTGCTTGGTGTCAGCTGGGCCAGTATTGAAGCCCATGCAAACAAAAGTTAAGCTATTGACCAGGGACAGTTCGATCCTTTAGAGACTTGGAACACTTCTGCCAGAAAAACACAACAACGTGCTGCCTCTTGAAAGGGAACATGAAGGAACCGCAACAAACTGAAACAAATCGAACCAACACAAGCCTCTGGAGTCAAAATCAAGCTGCCCTATTAAGGTTTCATTTATCAAGTGAATTGTTGGCCCCCCGGGAGGGGGGGGGAAGGGGCCTTGATTGAAGAATCCGCGAACGCTTGGGGCCCGCGGGCGTTTTGAAATCCTTCCGGCCACACTACCTTTTCGGATGGCTCAAGGAAACAAAAAGGAACCCGCCGATTTAGGGGGCTTGAACCTCCAGTTTGCTCTCTTGCTTGTCAGTGAGTGGGTCAAATAGATAACAAACTCCTGCTAATGTGCGATCTGTCCCCCAAAACCAGCCAGAAACGGAAGGCGAAGCCCATTCAGGTGGTTCCCTTATTTTTGAGATGCCGCCTTGCTTACCCCAAAAACCCGGCCGGCCTCTTTGGAGACTCGCCCTCTCTGAACAAACGGTGCCACCTCTGGGCGACTTTGCTGGCTCCCCGCCTGCGGTGCTTCAGTGGCTGCCTTGGCCAGCTCCCAGTATTCCTCCTCGGGCATGGTCCTCATGCGGCGGTCGCAAGGTTTGGAGAGGGGGGTTCGCACTCAGCCGATTCTTGCCCTTAGCGGTTCATTGATCGCGTGCTCAAAGTGAGACTCTTTGTGGTGTCTATCTTTGAGGTTAACCTTTTTGGTTGGTGTTGCCGGGAAACCAAAAGGGAAACCATCTTTTCTTGGGGAGTCCCCTAAAAAAACGACACGCCCGTAAATCCAACTCTAGCTGCAACAACTAAAATGGCTGGGAACTGCAAAGTCCCCGTTTGGTGTACCTTCCATTTCCCTCCCGCAAATCCATTTGGTGATTTTCCCTGGAAACAAACTCACCCAGCATTGGAGGAAACACACCTGCCCTCGGAGCCGAACACCTTTCTTTTTCGGGGGGGGGGGCAAGAAGCCCATCTTGAGGGAACGCACCAAAAGGCGAGTCACTTCCGATCGTGGTCAGAAGTCATCAGGCTGCTTATTCAGACCCCAGTGACTAAAACCCAGCAACAGGTTGAGACAAGGAACTCTCCTCAGTTGCCCAAAGGACACAACAAACAAGTTGACATTCTTGGGCCACGGCTAAAAATGGGCCAACAAGGAGAAACCAACATCGAAAGGTCGATTCGCTTTGGGCAAGTGAGCTTGGCATCTTTGCGGGAGAACCAACAAATATGGGCTGTGTAGCACCCAGAAAAGGGGGAAAGGGGTCAAAATGAAGGAAGGGGTGTGCCGCTAGCGCCCCTGCTGTTTTTTTAGTTCTTGCACTGAAAGCCGTGAGAGTGCATGTGTCTGCGTGTTGCATTGTGTGTTGACTTGAAGGGCGCCCCTAACGCCAAAGCAATGCCGCCGGAGCGGCAGCGCGTAGTCCAGCGCGCAGAAGAAGCCGCTCTTCAGCATCTCAGCGCTGGAGTGCTGCCTCGGGACGGCGAGAAAAACGCGCGGTGTCTTGGTTGCTGCAATCAACACCCCCTGCAAAAAGCTTCACCTTTTTGGGGGGTTGACCCCTCTGCAAAATGTTGAACTTTTTGTGTGTTTAGTGGAAACCCCCCTTGATTTCCCAAGAAGCTAAAGTCTAAAGACGCGACCCAATAGCAGTCAAGGTGTGGGCCACCTTATCCAACACGGGAGGCGCGGTTCGGGGCGGGGAAAACCCAATACTTTGCGGGTGCCTAGGCTCGCTGCCCACCTTCCGGTTGGTTTGAAGGGAAAGCCATGGGGAAAACCACCACTTGCAGGGTTGCTCCTATTTTGAGCTTCAATAACCAGCTAAGGACTCTTCGCAAATCAAGAGCACAGAATGTGTACGACTGCATCTGAATCCGGGCGAGCTATCGAGAACTCCCTCAAACCAAATATAACTTTCTGACCTTGACCTTGAGCAGGTTCTTCAGGGGTAGTCATTGCACTTCTTCTTTTGAACAGGTAGGGTTCTGCACCTCGAAAAAGACCTGAATTGAAAAAGCAGTCGGAAGTCAGGCGTGGCTTTGCCACTCCAACTCTCCCCTGACCCCATCTCTCCCATCTGCAAACTAAGACCCCAATGGCCTCATTGCTGACCTTCACACCTCCAACCAGCCCGCCTTTCGATGCATCTGAAGTAGTGTCAACTGTAGATTCACACCGGACCGTGCTAAGCTCTTCGGTGGCTCCCTCCACTGGGAAGTGATATCTATGGGGGGTTGTTGCGGGGTCCGAAGTCCACACTAAGCTCAACACCAACTCAGCTCCTCTGCAAGAGCCGATTCTGGCCCAAGAGACCGAAGCCAACCAAGCGACACCCAAAAGGATGTCATTCTTTTGCGTGGCTTACCCCCAACCTTCGGTCTCCCTTCGCTTCAAACTCCAAAAAGGGAGCCCAAAACCAGCAGAGACCGCCCCAAAGATCAGGTGGATTCACTGGGGCTTTTGTGTCTTTCAGAGATCTGGGTGTGTCTTTTCTTAGGGGATCTCCGCCCCGGCAAAAAAAAACGGTTTCCTTTTGAAACTGACCAAACATGGGGGTAGCCTCAAATCAAGACACCCCCATTTAGACTCCGATGGGTTCGGCTTTTGGTTTCCCTTACCAAAGGCCACCCTTCGTTTCAATCGAGGCCCTCTAAGCGGCAGGCTGCCTGAAGTAAATGCCAGGCATACGGCCTTGCGCGTGAAAATAACACGCTTGCTGAAGGCGAGAGAGAAGATGCTCCCTTCCCTCCCGGCATGTTGGGGGTTCCTCAAATGGGGCGCTGTTGTTGTTTCTAGCCCAAGTGGACCCAAAAGACAAAACAAACGTGTTTTGCGATTCCCCTGCTTTGAGAAATCAGCAAAGTTGAACTATGAAACATAAGGGCTGATTCCTCATTCTCATCACCTATTGCCTCTAAAGATAGCCACGCATTTTCCTATTGGAGACGGCCATCTCGCAATCCCTGAGCAAAACGTGCCTGTGCCCTGAAACGCTTCTCAAGCCCCCCACAAACCTCAATATTGGTTAACCGGTTGACACTGTGAAGATGAGGAAAGACAACGGAGCATTGATGGAAAATTATGGAAGATGACGGCAAGGCGATCAGGAAGATGACGGAAAGACTGCGAGAAGCTGATGGGAAGGGACAGCCCCAAAAAGACGCTGAAAGCTGTTCCGTCATCTTCTCGCAGACTGCCGTCCACGTCCCACGCTTCGGGAGTTGGAGGATACGCTCAAACAACCCCCGGCTCTAGGCTACAACTCACTTTCAGGGCTAACTCCACTCAGCGAACTTATGAACGGGTCCCTGACCAACCCCAAACACCCAGTAGCCACGCTCAAAGCCTTCAACAAATGACCGGCACACGCTTGGGTAGAAACAGTTGCGTGGCTTTGGGTTCTACTGTGGATGGTTGCAAAATCCAATTCGCACCACTTTGAAACCGTGGCAATGAAACCACAAGGTTTGTTGGTATTTACGTTGGGGAATCGAATCACTCCAGGGTTTCTGAACGGCGGTGCCCGATTCCTTCCATCTACAGTACTATACAAGGGTCTTCTGTTATAGGCAAGCTTCACTGTGATCCCAAATAAAGCAGCTAGTAGAACTCGCCAGCAGGAACATGTTCCTGACTCACCAAATTTCTTGCTGCCGATTGATTTCATAAAGTTGGTTTACTAGGCCCATTCACGTGAGACCCTCAAATTTAGCCTCTCAATTGTGGTTTTAAGGGACCCCCCCCAAAGCAATGTGCAAGCTCTCACAATTCCTTGACACATTTTCAGGGACCCAAGTGTATCTTGGGACCGGTTCTCTTGCTTCTCAGAAAGGAATCAAGAGTTTGGGAATGGAGCGGCACAGGATCCCTATAAAACCCAGTTCTTTCGTGGCTCTGGTAGACTCTCCTGCGTGGGCTGGCCAGAAAAGGTAACGCAGGAACTTTTTGTTTACCACTACAAACCGAACACTTGTTGGTTCTCAGCAGGGAATGAGTTGGAATGACCTCTACAAACCATCCCTTGTGTCCTTTACGGGAATCCCCTTCCAGTTCATTCCCAAAACCCGGATTCGCTAAGTTATTCCCTACCTATCACACCAGCAAGCAAACTGAGGACTTGGAATTATTGGGGTTCACGACGTCTGCGCCGATTGTTGCGCAGTTGGATAACACCCGACGGAGCGGGACAAAGCATCTGGGTGTGTCTTAAAAGTAACAGGAGTCACTGGATTTCCCCTTCAAACGTTGCAATTGACTGGTGGTGTCCCTTGAAACGATCGCCACCTTTGAAGGCTCCAAACATGTAAATGGAGGAAACCCTGAAAGAGACCCCCCCAAAATGCGACACATCAGCTTTTTGGTTCTGGGTGCTTCTTGTGGAAGGGAAGATCTGATTTGAAATCACTCCAAAAAGAAGATCTGATTTGACGCCACTCCAAAATGAAGATCTGATTTGAAACCACTCTAAAATGGGTATTATCAACAAGACCTCTGCATTTATCAACTGGTGCGACGTGGATTCTTTATCGTTGGTGGGTTTAATGGAACCCCCCAAATGTGCCGAACAAATTGCTGCTGAACACCCGGGACCCCTGCTCCAAATGCCCTCTGTTTTCAGGGTAGGATGTGAACCCCTGACTCAAAAAGGGTTGGGATTTACCCTGGAACACCAGCTTTTGAAGCCTTAAAACAAGCGAGTATTTGGATGGCTCCCTTCCGGCTCAAACTGTCCCTCCCTTGCCGAACAGGCGCCTGCGGCGCCTGATGCGCAGCCCACAGTGGGCACCTGACCGAACCAATGGAACCAGGGTCTGTCGTTTTTTGGAGGGTGCTCGCTGTTGTGCTTTTAAAGGGTTAAACCAGAAGGACATCCACCATGTTGGCCAAAAAGAAACAGATACACCCAAAAGGACACCCAAAAGACACCAAACGCTTCTGAAAATTTCCCAAGTTTGGGTGTCCCAAAACTGAAGGAACTTAAGGGCAACCTGTTTTGTTTGGATCTTTGCGGGAAATGCTCACCTTCAGGCCCGGGAGGGTTGAGTGTGACAACCCGTTGACCTGCCCACTTGACATTCTGTACCTGAGCCAAATAGATCCGAAGTTGCAGAACTTTGGCTTGAGAAGGAAACTAAAACGGCCAAAAGTGAAACAGGGAACGTGGCAATACAAAAATATCACTCGGCCGAATGGGGGTCTCTAACCTCCTGCAACAAATTCCCCTTTCTTTTAGAGGGTGTCAAAGCAACAAGGAAATGGCTGGATGCCAATGCTGTTAGCCATTTGCAACAAGGTAAACGTCACAAGGCAAATCCCCGATCTCTTTTTGTCAGGGGTCACTGGATTTGGCCCCTTCATCAGTTGCAATTTGTGAACTCGGGACGCCTTTTTGTGGAGCTTGGTCCACCATGTGCATTCACCGTCCCCGAGAAAAAAAAACAACAACCAAGATAACATGTACAGTGGTGAAATCGATTCCCTGAAGGTCCACCACACGGACGCGCTTGAAGTGCTCATGCTTCGGAACTGCAAGCAAGTTAGCTGACTTTAAGGAACTCAACTTGAGGGGAACCCATTGAAGAGCCCAGAAACCAGGCACACCGACTGTTTCGGGTCTTCTGTCTTCCCCCAAGAATGCAAGTGTCGATTTTTGACGACTGTGGGCAGCTATGCTTTTTGATGGGTGGCTCGTCTTTAGGATTCGGACCCACCAAACATGGAGTTCCCCCCAAAAAGCCTGACCTATATGGGCCTTGCCATAACACTTACCTTATATGTAACCACGTAGGAGCCGAACCACCTACTCAAAATGACCTGTTTGGAGTAGCGGTTTTGGGCTCTCACGCTTTCTCCGCACTGCGAGCAGGGCGGCGAGTCGTCAAGGGCATTTGTTCAGATTCGGGTTTCATACCACATTTATGCGTTGCTTTTTGTTGCCTTACATGCCTATAGCGGACATACATAAATATATATATTATATTATATTATATGTTTGTGTAAGCAAACAAATGGGCGCGTCCTTTTTGTAGTATCCCTCAGAACAAAGAACCACACCTAGATAGCTCGCAAGCCATCCTTTGGCGGCCGCTTGGGCGCCGGGCGCCCAGAGCGCCCAGCTCGAGGTCCCGTTGCCCCACCGGCTCCGCTAGGAAGGGCGCGAGCAAAAAGTCGACGCCTCGAGTCGCACGCGCGATGCGAGTCGGACTCGGTGACTCGGAGGTGGTTTGTTAGGTTGGATTTCTGGAACTAGTTGACTATGAGTGGTCGGACTCGGAGGTTTCGCTGATTTCTGTGTGGAACAAGTTTAACAGAGCAATCGGATGCTTGTACTTGACTATGTTGATTTGTGGAACAAGTTGACTATGAGCAGTATACTGAGATGCTTAGTGAGTCGCCAAAAACAACAACATGGTTGGTTACAGGTTGAGAGATGTTCGATGGGAGTAGCTGGAAAACACGGGTTGTGAGACAGGCACTTTGGCTGAACATCGGGCTGTCAAGTGAGCTAAGTTTACTCAACTTGGAGCGATACTTGGGGAAGGCTTTGTGAAGCCGAGCGAGTGATTCCTGTGGAAAGGGGCTCTATTGAAGAAACAATCTGAAAGTAGGCTGACTGTTGCTTGGTATGATTGAGTTTGAAACAGGAATCATACAGGAAAGGGCGTCAACAAGGGCGCTGTATCGAACATCTACAAATATGAAACATGCTTTCACAGCTTTGTGGACACCCTCCCACAATCCATTCGATGGAAGCTCCAGGCTATATCTGAAAGCTGTTCGTTTTTTAAGGGGAAGGTTGACCCAATGACCTCAGTTGCCCAGATCAGACCCAGAAATAACAGGTGATCACCTTTTCGAGCCTGTTGGACCAGGGAGATCAACGGGTCAAAAGGTCGCTTTTGTGATCGAGATTCACGCTCTGGTTGATTAACTCAGTTGCTCAAAGGATCCAGAAGCAGAGGTTCACCTTTTGGGGCAAAATGCGCCAGAAAGGGGAAACCAACCGGTCAAAACTGTTTGGCTTCGGGCAAGTGAGTTAAGACGGGGGTGTTCAAACTTAGAGGGAACCTTCCATAGACTGGCTTCCACCACATAAGCCAAGCTCGTTTTTTCCGGGGGCGGGGGGGATATCCTTCTTCAGGTGGGCTTAAAGGGAAACCCTAAGGAACACCGGAATCCACTTTGGGGATTCCAGATCCTATTTTGACATGCCCCATCTTGAAACAGGGCGATCCTGTGTTGTTGGTGACACCGATGTGGCTTAACCAGTCCACGCCACTGAAGTCTTCTCCAGTAGCAGTATGCTCCCTTTAAGACGGGAAGCAACAGGAATCCAAGCTATGTCCTATATGGGCGTGTCTTTTTGGAGGGTACCTCCTTTGTTTGTGGATTGAAAGGGAAACCGACGGACATATAAACATGTTGGGGATCCCCTACAGGAAGACATGCGCCTATGGAGAGCAACAATCAGTTGGCACATGCATCCAATCGTGGAAGGGTAGGGGACCAGCGCCTTGTTTGGCCTTGTTCCGCTGTCAACAACTGGACCCAAGGACGAGCATGCTTGGTATGTGGGGGTGTTGATTTTTCCGGGGACCTCCCAAAATGGAGTTTGGTGTTCATTTTGGTTTTTCTGTACACCCGCCAAATGGTGCAAACACAAGCTGGGAGGCCCCTGTGAATTCTCCCCTGGCCAACCACTTGCTAACTGGCAACCAATCATACAAGCGCGCGATCTACACCCATCTGCAAAACAAGCAACTTTTCATTCCAAGCTACAACAAAAAACACACCCAAACGCCCTCAAAACAAGGGGCCCCCAAACAGACATCCCGGTATTCCCTTTTAAACGACCCTGAAAGAAGAAACACCCAAAAGGACCCACCCACACCTTTGGAGCCCACCGATCGATCGATCATCTGCCTGCCCGGAGCTCCTCCGACAACTCGAAGCGCTCAGAGAGGAAGTGGATGCCTTGATTCCCCCCGGTCGGCCGGCCAAACACCGGAAACCCCAGACATCCACCCTTGGAAGACTCATGTTGACCAAACTGATCCAACCCCCTAAGCAAAAGGTCTCATGTTTTGGAGGTTTAAATGGAAACCCATTTGCTTCGAAAGGGCCTGAGCAGCGATGTGGTCACACCAAAGACTGGCCCTGACTAGAGGTGGCAATAAAACATGTGCCGCTTTTGCGTGTTTGTGAAAGCTGGAGATGTGTGTGGAGGCAGCTTGAGGGGCACTCCCCCAAACCTTGGCTTTCCCGCTAAAACCGCCGTGCAACAAGTTGTCACTTTTAGCTGATGCCGGATACAGAAGGAAACCAACAAGGCGAGCAGTGAACACAGGTAAGCCGAGTCTGGCGCTGTAAAGGGAAGCTCGTGGAGCTGGTGTAAGATTTGGAACCAGCTCCAAAGGACCGACAAAGTGTTCTACGGGAATGTTCCTCACGCAAACCTTGACCTCAGCTTCCCTAGCCTCAACAAAAAGCACGATGGTCCATAGTGACCCTTGAGCCTCGAGCATGTAAGCTATTTTCAACAAGGACCCCGGGCATGCACAAGGTTGTTGCCACCCCCGCAAGAAACCACGGCAGCGGTATCGAACACTTGATTCTGGCTCATGCTTCCCTTCAAATTAACATGCGTTCCCAACATAGGGAAGGTCGACTCTTCAACCATCCTTTACACCTGCCATTTGCGCTGGATCATTAATCAGAACATCCATCTGTCCAACATCGTGTGTGACTTGAACAACAATAAGGTAAAAGAAAAGCCATGACACCCAAGCGGACGCCAGGCCTTTTTTGGCTTTGTTAGCAAGCTACCAGCCAACCGGCTTGTTCCTGAGGCACGTGAAACCATCTAAAGAACCAAACGGGATGCCCTTTAACTGTTTCAGCAACATCCTGCCCAACAGGAGGTTCAGGATGCGGAAGAGACACCTGCATGTGAACACATCCTAGTGGCTTCTACCAATTGTCTAGTGTAAGCTAAATAACTTGTGATTGCTATGCTAACGTCAAGTTAAGACACCAACTCATTGTCAGGGGATATGATTGTTAAGGAAAACAAGTCAGACATTACTTGGCTTAAGTACTGTGATTTGATTAAACTATTGCACAAGGGCATGTGTAATTTAGGCCATGCCAGGGGTTTTGAAACCCTGCTTTTGAAGCAGCCTGAGATCCTAAACATTGTCCAGTAGATTTCAGGGAGTGAGTTTTTCAGGATGTCTGAAGAGTAAACCCTCATACTCACCCGCTCAAGATTCGAAGAAAACAGCCCTGAGTCCTCAGACACAACCTAGGGGTCGCTGGATGTCCCCTTCAACCGTTGCAATATAATTGACTGGTGGCTTCCCTTGAAACGATCGCCACTTTTGAAGGTTTCAAAAACGGGAAATTGCTCACACACCCCTGAATAACGCCCCCCCCCCAAAAGAAAAAAAAAACAGCAACAGTTTCATTGAAATAACATATTCTTGCTATGGATCAAAAACTTCTGACAAAGAAGGCCATACCTTGGACGTTTCAGGTCGCCGTGAGGTAAGGCTGCGGCGGCCGGGGAAAGCGGCCATGACACGGCTCAGCACATCCTGAGCCATGAGCCCGTACCTGGCGATGGGAATTCCAACATGTCTGAACATGTTGAGGTAAAAGGGGAGTTCCTGGCGATGCATGTCTCGAAAGGGGTGTTTTATTTGTTTTTCCTCTGGCGTTTCTTTTTGTTGATGCAAATCTTGACCATGTCCTCGTTTGCAAAGGATGTGTTGCGGCAAAATGGCTACCGGTTTGCTCGTCCTCCAGGGTCTAAAAAGACAGCCCCAGCGCAGCGCGGCTGAAGTCAGTCTCGGTGTCTCCAACAAGAAACTCAGATTGACTTTGGAGGTCCCCTTCTGAGTGGGAACACCGCACAAATCACCTCACATGCGATCGAGTGGATCGGCCAAAGCCGAACTGTTTGCCAGTAAAATGGACCAAACCAAAGCGACTAAAGTCCGAAACGAGCTCAGGAACTCAGTTTACACATGAAACGGTTCAAGTCACACCGAAAGAACAACCAAGAAAGGCGCAGCTGTCTCCTGCCAAAAAGTGAAACACGTCTACGGTAGTCCAGAGAAACCAAAAGCCGTCCTTAGGGCACCCCCATTTGATTGTTTGTTTGTTTGTCTGTCTGTTTGCTTGTCTGCCTGTCACATCTGTCTGTCTGTCTGTCTGTCTGTCCGTCTGTCTGTCTGTCTGTTTGTGTGTGTGTGTCAAGGTAACTGATTGGGATAGCCCCACCATTTGAGTGCAGTTTCCCTTTCAACCCATTCCAAGGAAACCGCGCCTCGAAAACCCAGACTGTGGATGTTCCATGGCAACACATGGCACCCCCTCATTTTTGGTCATTGATTTCCATGATCCAAATCAACGGGAAGAAAAACACGGGCACCACTGGTCTGATTTAAGAGCCACGTTTGCATTTTCGCCTGGAAAACACACCAATCCTACCAGTGATAGATTCTCCTAAACACCAGGGCAACATAAGCAACTACTTCCAGATGCAAGGTTCCCTTTCAAAAAACCAACAAAGCGAGAAAGCACAAACATAAAGAAATATTCTTAAGCACATGGAAGGATCCATGTCCATATAAACGCACATTTTGTGCCCGCAAAGCCCGGGCGCACAGGTCGCTGCAAAGCCCGCAGAGCAAAACTTGCGCCTCGAGAGCAAAAATGGGACGGGTGCCTGCCATGGGTTTATAGCTATGTTTACCTGGACCCTCAAACTACCCACAAAAAAAGGGAATTCACCCCATCAATTGGGGCAGACATCGTTTTCTGAGGGAATTTTGAGGGTTCAGGTACTCAGTTGCCTTTGATAGACCCAGAAATCAAAGCAATGTGGGGCCAGGACATTTAATGGACCAAGGGGACAAGGTCAGATCCGGTCGATTCGAACACTTCCAAAACTAAAACGTACCCAACATCAATTTGGTAGCAAAATAGACCTAGGACACCTTTAAAGATTCAAACAGGCGCTAAAGCAGAACAAAAAAAAACAGAAAACGAGAGCAACGGGCAACTGAATGCCTTCAGGATAAATTGAGTCTTGGGAAGAGGAAGCCGCAATAGGGCCCAGCGTGCGCAGGTCTTTATGGACGAGGCGCCGAGCAAGAGGAAGACATACGTGGCCCAACTAGCTGTTTCGGGCTTCTCCTCTTAAGGAAAACCAACATTTGGGGGTCTCCGTTCGTTCTTTCTTTCTGTTTTCGTGTTCTTTCTTCATGTATTTCTTTATCCTTTTTCCTTCCTTCCTTCCTTCCTTCCTTCTTTCCTTCCTTCCTTCCTTCCTTCCTTCCTTCCTTCCTTCCTTCCCTACTTCGTCTTCTTTTCTCGTTCGTTGTGCTTATTTGTATTTTGTTGTCTTTCTGTATGTCTTTCTTTATGTCTTTCTTGCTTTATTTCTTGCTTTATTTCTTTCTCTCATTCTCGCTTTCTTTCTTTCTCTCTTTCTTTCTTTCTTTCTTTCTTTCTTTCTTTCTTTCTTTCTTTCTTTCTTTCTTTCTTTCTCTCTTTCTCTCCTTCCTTCCTTCCTTCCTTCCTTTCTTCCTTTATTTGCTTTCTTTGCTTTCTTTGCTTTCTTTGCTTTCTTTGCTTTCTTTCTTTCTTTCTTTCTTTCTTTCTTTCTTTCTTTTTCTTTCCTTCTTTGCTCCATTTCTTGGTGTTTCTAGGTGTTTCTAGGTCTTTCTAGATTCTAGGTCTTTTTCCGGTCTTGTCCATTCTTTCCATCCTTCGCAGCCAGGCTCGGCTGCTATTTCCATTTCTTGAAAGGCGCCGATTGCTCAGCATGTTGACATCACGAGCGATGTCATCTATATCGGGGAATGTCGTCCATGCCACCACTTGGCGGAGGTCGGGGGCATCACGCTCACTCTTTTCAGAAAAGGGACACCTTTTCGGCATTGATTCCAGTTTTGGTAAGGACAAAGAGGCATTTGAAAGGGTGCCACTACTGTTCGTTCACCTCTGAAATGGTCTTCCCCAAAAAGCACAAAGTCCAGAAACTCAGTCAAACAGCTTCGCATGGTTGCAAAACTCCTTGTTTTGTTTTTGCAGCCCCCTTTCAACGAACAAATGCAAAACAAAAGCAAACACTTGCCAAGACCAGTGAGGTTGGTTTTGGGGGCTTTTTCTTCCAGTGAGGTTGCTTTTGATGGCTCTTGTTTTGGTTTGCAGACCGGGCAATCACAGCCTAGAAACCTCCCATCTCTCGACCCGAAGCTCGCCTCCTCATGGCGACACAAGATCTGCGGCACCACCTCCGCAATCTGCTCCGCGCCTGGCGAAGTTCGGAGCAGGATGAGCCTTGAGGCCTTAGCAAGGGACGCCTTAACTTGGTTGACGTTGGAAGGGGAGCAAAAATACAAATCTTAGCAGTTAAGTGGTTGGATTTCAACCAAACCACAATAAGCAAACATGTGACATGTTTCCCAACGACAACCATGTTAAGGGGGTTGGTGAGAAAGCTCTCCCTGGATAAGGCTAAGCCCAGGATAAGACTCAGAATAAGGCCTTGGCAAGGGCTTAATAGGTTTTGAAACAGGCGGGTCCCATGGAAAATCTGTTGGTTCCCCAAAAGTTAAAGTCCAAAGATCCAACCAAATTCCCACCAAGAGCCACGAAGAGGCAATGGGACACGCTCATAGCCCCCTTGAAAAGTCTATCTGACTGGGGGCATGCGAGTCCAGTCCCACAGGATGCGCGGATGTCTGGGGATGTTCAGTTTGGGATATGGGCGAGTTCCTTGGAGAGAAACGCACAATTACAATCTTAAACTGTTCCATGGCAAATCCTGGCAACTAGGTATATCCCCGGCAAACATATTGTCATGAAATATCTTTGCGGTCATATGTTTGGGCCTCGGTATTGTGCAGGGGGGCAACTCGCTTGTGGACCGTAAGCTCGGAAACTGAGGTACTTCTGTGCGAGGCAGCGACAAATTCACAAGACACCTGAGTGGTCCCTCTCAGGACCGGAACGGAAGCTATCCATAGGAACCGCATCTGAAAAGATTCAGGGAAAGTACAGTCAGGGTTTCCTTGATTTCCCGTTTTGGACCCTCCAAATGTGGCAGTTTCAACTTGGTTGACGTTGGAAGGGGAGCAAAGGATTATCTTTTAGCAGTTCAGTGGGGATTTCCCACTAAACCACAAAAAGCAAAAATGTAGAATGATGGACACCACCTGTAGATTGCAACTTTTGAAGGGGAAATCCAGTGACCCGAGATGTATTTTCGAGGATGCCAAAGCAGCCTTTTCCGAGCCAACCGGAAGCCGTCTGCAGTGTTCCTCCAGACTACCCATGGAAAAGCACAAGCAGCTGAGACAAAAGAGGCTATGAGACATAAGTACGTCAACATGGAACCCCAACAGATTTGGCCCCGAAAGAACATTGCTCTGGGTCATGGTTGTGGAACACCCGCAATCTGTGATACCAGCATGGTTGGCATTCCCATAACTTCTTTCTCACGAGGAGTTGAATTGGTATCACAGAAATTTGCCACTAATCCTTTGTTCCACGTCCATGGTGTCTTTTCGATGATAATTTCTGTCACGGGCAAATAATTTCAGAGCTTACCATCCCACCTAGGGCCCTGTAGAGGAAACTGGTCCAGAGGGGCCACAACTTGACCATGCACCTTAAAGAATGCGTTTCGGCTTCCACAGGATGTTCGAGGTTGGGGATGCAACTGGGTGGATGTTTCAGTTCGGAACCAAGCTACCATCTAGGGTGATTCCCATATTTCAACTTACCTTCAATTGATGTTTTGGATTGATGGTTTGGTGGTTAGGGAGGGGTTTCCCATTCACCATCTACAAAAGCCAGGGGTTCAATTGATCCAAACCACGAACTGAGGGTTTCCTGAACATTAGTGGATACCACCAAGGCATCTAGATCAGTGACATGCCGCCAGGCGCGCGCGCGCGCGCGCTCAGAACAACTTTTCTCCAGCTCCGGACTCTGCCGACGGCTTTTGGGCTGAAAAGAGAGTACCTCCGCAACGTGGGCTAGCCCTGGCGTCTTTCCCCTTGACCTCCAGTGGGTTGGGTAAAAACCGGACATCCCCCGCTCCCATTCTTTCGGCTGATTGATTTTGAAAGGACATCCTCCTCACAAAACACACCCACACACATGGCAACAACAGCACCACTGGAGGCTTGGGTTGAGCACACCCCGGCCCCGTTCACACCTGGACCTCCAGCCCCGAGCATCAGCTTGCGACTCAAACGCGCCGCGCCGCGTCGAGTCCTGCCACGTCCGCCGGGTGTTCGGCGCCTTTCCTGGGACTCCATGCCCCTTGGCATCAGACTCAAAGAATGCACGTGTTTCTTAAAATATCCTCTAGGGGAATTTGTGTGAGGGTGCCCCCCACTAGTTTTTTGATGGGAATTCCAGGCCCCCGGAATTCCCCCCAAACTTTTTTCATGGGCGCGGTCTGTTGGATTCCCCCTTTTGTGAGTAACTCTGCTAGCATACTCCCCGAGGCACAGCGCACATCTGGAGACTGCAAGCAGGAAATGGGTGGGCCGCGATTGGGCGTGCGTGTGCCAACTGATTGTTGCTCACTATAGGCGCGTGTCTTCCTGTAGGAGATCCCCAAAATGCTTATATGTCTGTTGGTTTCCCTTTCAAACCACAAACAAAGGAGGTACCCTCCAACAAGACACACCCATATAGAACATGGTTTGCTTTCCTGTTGCTTTTCGTTGGAAGCCCACTGAGGTGGGATTTTTTTCGCAGGCCTTCTCCGGGTTTGCGTGCTCCCCCAACCTCTGTGCGCTCGCTCAGTGTTTTTTTTTTTTTTTTTTTTTTTTTTTACGTTTTTCTTCAAACACAAGTTGAGAAGGCACTGTCCACTTGGGAAAAGCCTATGGCCAAAAACGAGGTACCTTACAGTAAATCAGCTTTCCCCGGGGTATCGCCTTCTCTGTTTTTTTGCGGGCGGGTTCCCCCCCCAAGCCGGTTCTGCGTCGGTCTGATCAGGTCCCCTGTTTGATTTCTTGGGGATCTTAGCTGGTTTTTGACCACAGGGAAAACAGCAGGGTTCCATTTCCAGATTCAGGGGCCCAAATTGCTTGTGAAACAGCGCCAAATGAGAAAGAGTACTCAGTGCGTTGAACTTTCGTGTGAGGGGGGGGGCGGGGGCAGCTGGGAAAGCAATCATCAAGTCTGGGTATAGCGCCCTTTAGAAGGGATCTAAGCATTGAGAAGGCATGGTCCCTGGAGAAGCCTTAGGGATGGGGGTCCAGACCCTCGACAATCGCTGGCGAGCTAGAGGTCCCCGCCAGGGGTTCAGTCTTTGACAACTCAACCCAAATAAATTGGTTGGTTTGTCTTTGGCACTCGGCAAGTTCAAACAGGTACTTGTTGCGAACAACGCTCGTCCTTACACAGGGATAGGGGCCAAAACCCCCTTTTATAGGACAAAGCATGAATCAACTGGTGCATGATTGACTCTCCTGGTTCCCGCTAGTTACCATGGAACTGTGCAGCAGAACTCAACATGTCCTGCACCTATTGTTTCTCTCCAGAAACCCGAATCATCCCTGGTAGCATTTTGGGTTCGGCAGGCCCCTTCAGAAAAGGACCCACTTGAACACGTCCAGTGTTTAGGTGAGTGTCACAACTTCCCGCTTTTGCTTTCACCTTTTCTTTGCCACAGAAGGGAGTTGCGCCATCGACTTTCACTCCAATTAAGGTATATCCTTACTTCAGCCCCAGCATCGAGGACATGGCGTGGTCGAGGGAGCTGGCTCTTAGGTGAAGAGTGGGCTGCTGCGAGCGTTCCTGAGGCAAAGGTCTGATAAGTCGCCTCTGCAAGGCAGCTCTCTTCCCTTCGGCTTCCTCACACTTTCCCCGCTCCAGACAAATTCAAATCCGTGCCCTTTTGCCTTCCTTTAAGTAAGAATGCACTTATTCGGCCCAAGGCTTCTGGATCCCATGCCTATGATAATTTTGTTGGGAAGGGGTAATGTTCCTCCTGAGAGCCATGTCTTACCTCACGAACTACAGCTCTTCCGATGCATCTCGGAGAAACATCGCGCACCACACAGCTTCCTTTGGTTATTAGCTTGGCTTCTCCAAACATCTAAGGGGGTTGAGGTCCCAAGGAGCTATTACATCTACAGTGCCCTGCCACCATACCTGGAAGGGCACAAACTCAAAGCCACGTTTTCTTCGATTCATTGCCTGATATTTATCCGGGGGGAAATTTTTAGGAGGAAGGGATAAGTTTATAAGCCTTCCATAGGTCATCTTTGCAGAGGATACACAATTACTCTTAACCCTGGGGTCATCAACTTGGCCCGTTAATACAGAGGTGCTTCCCCTAAACGCCGGATACCCCCGTTGCTCTAGGCTTCTAATCCCACAAACAACCGCCAAAAGACGCAAACGGGACACACAAACCCCCCTGACGCATACGGGTAAGTGTCACAATAGGGGTACCCCCGTCCCGCCCCAACAATAAAGTGTCTTTCCTTTCAGTCAAGCTGGCAAGAGTGCACTCAAAAACACAAACTCACAGGGGTATAAATTTTGACTAGGCACCCTTGGACATGATTAGGTTGGACGTCTTGTCCATCATCCACTTTTGAGGCGAACCCCCTATAAAAAGTTCCATATTCGACGGCTAGCTTCTCCATTCTGTCCAGGGATCCTTCTTTCTAGAAAACCACAAAAAATACCTGGGAAGATGGATCCGGTTGTTGAAAATAAGGATGGTTTACAAGGATGGAAAAGGAATCAACCCCTAGACATATGGCCATGGGTCAAAATCATTCAAAATCCAAATCGTACCCCAGTGAACATCCCAATCCCCACTAAAATAGGTTCTGAAATGGTGCACCGAAAAACCCAAAATAGGATCCCATTGGTTTTGACAACCACAGCCATATGTTTGACGTTGCACCCGTGGTTTCCGCTGAATTCGAGCTCTCCCTCCAGTCACGGCTCTGCACCGCCACCAGCAGAGACCCGTCATTGGCAGTGGAGGTGGTGCGGTCCGCTAGGTACTCGACCACCTCGCCCCAAAACCGGTGTCCTGTCCTCCATGTGCTTAAGTCCCCTGGACAAATTAAACATATTTCCAGTAGTGATAGATTCCCGCTAAAAACAACAGAGGAAATATACAATATTCTCAACCAAATGGAAGCTGTGGATCCCAGACACCACTATAGTTCTAGGGGTACCTTCCATTTCCATTATTTCCAGGGATGCTTCTTTTCAGGAAACCATCAACCACGCAGGGAAACAGCTGGTTTTGGAAAGAACGGTGGT